ATCATAACCTTTTTCCACTTAACTGGGGTTGTCTACACGAATCTTGGTAGGCCATTCTGCTTTATTTTTAATGAGGCCATAAGTCCCCATATCTTTCTGAACTACTTCCAACCGCATCCTTTTGGGTATACCCCTTGCATTTTTAAGTCCTTCCACTTGAACTAACTTGCACCTACTAATAGGTGTTATACTTGGTCGGCACCACACATAGCCAGCCTACCTAAGTCTGCTCTCTTTCCTCTTATTACCTATTGGTGCTATACCTATATTCTCTCAAATATATTCATTTCAAATTCGATCACTTCTTATCTTGCCACTCATCTATCTCAACATCCTCATCTTTGTTACACTCATTCATTGGGTATATTGTTTTTTGACCCCCAACATTCAACCCCATAGAGCAAAGCTAGTCTCACAGTTGTCCTATAGAACTTGCCCTTCAACTTCATTGGTATGCGACGATCACATAAAATTTCAGTTGTACATCTCCACTTCGCCCACCCAGCTCCAATTCTATGTGCGACATCTTCTTCAATCTCTCCTTGTTTCTAAATTATTGACCAAGATATCGAAAATAAGGTCTTTTTATACTTCCTGAATGTCAATCTTAACCACTTCCACGTCTCTACTCCTATTATTACTAAACTTACATTCAATATACTCTATCTTAGTCTCGTTAGTTTTAAAATATTTAGATTCTAGAGCATCCCTCTAAAGTTCTAACTTTGTGTTGAAGCCGATTCGGATCTCATCAACCAAAACTATATCATCTGGGAATAACATGTACCATGGTACCCCATCCTATATGTGCCTAGTTAAGTCGTTGATAACTAAAATAAAGAGGTACAGGCTCAATGCTAACCCTTGATGTAAACCTATTGTCACTGAAAACTCACTCGTCTCTGGTGGATCTAAATTTTCTGTAGGCCCGAAGAGGTCCAAGTATGGGATCCGAGTTTAGCATAAACCCTCTCAAACAACCACACACAAAGCTTCGGGATAGGTACCAATGATAAAAGAATTTTAGTATGACAGTTAGGATGTTAAGAACCTACCTCGTCATCAGGTTCATGGGATGTGTCTGGGTAGGTTACCCTCTTAGAACACTAAAGAAAGCCCTTTGACTATCCTTGTAATGCATTTTGCGTCTAACTCCCTCGCTTCGTTGCACAATACTAGAATCACATTTATCTATGACTTTTAAGAGGCGTCCCTTGGCTTGTCTCCAATTGGGTATGAGAGATTTGAGAGATGGGGATTATGTTTATGGATGAAGAGGTTCAAAGAGAGATAGAAGAGAAATATGGCGGAAAACAAAGGGAAGCAAATAACTAAAAAGATGGAAAAATATTAAAAACAGGTTGATGAAAAATGGGCAGCCCTCCGGCATCACCTCTCCCAAGAGGTACTATCGGATGACAGAGAAAAAGTACTCGACCTGTGATCGAGGTACCGCGGAGGATTCAGGAGAACGGAGTCCGTGGGTTAAACTCATCACGAGTCATTTCGGAAGAGCCCCCTTATGCATAATGCATGATGATGATAATGAATTATGAAATGCAAAATATAGGGCTGATAGAAAACGGACAGCCTTTTGGCGTCACCTCTCCCAAGAGGCATTACCAGTGAATAGAGAAAGGTACTCGACTTGTGATCGAAGTACCCCGGAGGATTCAGGTGAATGGAGTTCGTGGGCTAAAACCTATCGCGAATCATTGCCAAAGAGCCCCCTTATGCGATATGCATGATAATGATAATGAATTATGAGATCTAAGAACGGGCATATACAAAGATGGTAATGAGTAATGTGCATTCTTTGAAGGTAAGCACGATCTTTAAAGATGTGAGAAATCAAAGTAAAATGAATGCAATCATGTGATAGAGGAATATGCAAGAATTTTAAGTAGAACATGAGAAAAGGGAAATTTCTATAGTAAAGAACTATCTTAAAAGAGATGAAGAAGAATTAAGTATCTTAAATAAAGCATAAGAATGGGTGAAGAAACAAGTAAGAGAAAGAAGAATAAGAAAATAAAAAGAGAGAAAGTTAAAAGATGATAGAATGAGAAATAAGAGTGAAAGAGATATATGTAAGAAAGATCAACCAGGGAGAGAGATGAAGAGATGAGAGAATGAGAGAATAAGAAAACAAAAAGAATGAGAGTTGGGCCCGATAGGGAGAAGAGAGACTTAAGAAAAGAGAGAGAGAGTTTTAGAAAAGAGAGAAGAGAATTTAAAAGAATATATATATATATATATATATATATATATATATATATAT